TTGAGGATATTCCTCTTCTGAGGCGTAACCTGGATCTATCCGTGTGGAAAGATCGAACAGGCCTAACTGCTTCACAAAGTGATTGTTTTTCTCTGTTGATAGGGGTTTTGTGAAGCCATCTGAAGGCATATCTTTGGTCTGAACCCAGCTTACCGCAACTTTGCCATCTTTGTGGATTTGCCTTAGCCAGAGATTGTGGATGTCGACGTGCTTTAGTTTGGATGTTAGCTGAGGTCTCTCTTTCTGGATCAGTCCTACTGTTTGCTGGTTGTCACAGAGAATGCGAGGCTGTTGCTCCGGATCAAACTGTATCTGCTCGAACAGCCTGTATAGACCTATTGTCTCCCTCGCTGTATGTGACAGTGATAAGAGCTCTGCTTCAGTCGTCGACGTGGTTACAGTCTTCTGTTTAGATGACTGCCACATGATCGGTCCACAAAACATCTTCATAAGGTAGCCTTGCGTGCTTTTACGAGTCTCTGGATCATCCGCGAACGATGCGTCGCTTGACACTTGTAGCACTTCATCATCGCACGTCTCTACTTCTGCATTCGCAGAGCCCGAGAACTCGATGGCATAGTACTTTGTGCTCTGGAGATATGAGAGAACTCGATTTGTGCATCGCAAATGCTCCGGTGAAGGGTTCATCGCGAACTGACTCAACTGGCTGGCTGCAAAGGAGACGTCCGGTCTTGATACAACTGCGGCGTACAGGATTGAGCCTACCTTTTCTTGCATCTCTGTGATCTGTTGCAAAGTAGCCTGTCCTTCGAAAGGCTGGGGACGGTACGATGGCATGAGAGGCGTGGAAGCCGTTCTCAATGACTCATCTATTCCAAACTTGTTGCACAGCTTGTCGATGTATCCATCTTGGCATATCCAAAGCTTCTTTGCCTCAAGGTCGCGAAGGATCCTGATGTTGAGGAAGGACATTGCCTCACCCAAATCCTTGATCCCATACTTGCTGTTCAGGGCTGCACTCCTGTCGTCCTATGACGAGGAGGTCATCCACGTAAAGGAACAAGATAAGTCCTGTATCCTTGTTGATGAGTATGCACGGCTCATCTGGGCAATGATGGAATCCCAGACCATTGAGAAATGATACAAGCTCATCAAACCACAATTTGGGGGACTTACGCAGCCCGTATAATGCTTTCAGCAGTTTCCAGCATTTCCCTTGCACACCATATCCAGGTGGACAAGTTGTGTAGACCTCGTCGCACATCTGCGCATTGGTAAAAGCATTCTTGAAGTCAATTTGATGACAGAGAAGCCCAAATGCGCAAACAAGCGCCATGAGTATGCGGAAACTGCGATATGCACCTGTTGCTGCATAGATGTCATCCGTCATGTGGTGTTGAAGATCGCCTCTAACGCAGATTCGTGCCTTGTAGCGGGCGAGATATCCGGCGTCGTCAAACTTGTAGGTGAACACCCACTTAAGTGGTAGAACTTGTTTGTGATCGGGATAGTCCACGAGTTCAAATGTCGCCTTTTCTTTGAGTGTCGTGATCTCAGAGTCTGCAGCACTCATGAAACCTTTCCTTTCGGGGTGACGCTTCAGCTGGTGCCAAAACTCGGGCGGTGGATCCAGATCTTTGCGATGGACACGCATCGAGCGTGCAGATGCGAAAGCGTAGGCTACCTGTGAACCCATCTTTGCACGTTCAAGTCGTAGGGAATGAGCTTGTCGACGTGCTTGCTTTCGGAGTCGTCGTGGCGTAAGCCTTGACTGCAACGCATTCGCCGTGTGATGATTTGTTCTTGCTTCAGAAGAATTCTGCACTGCAATACTCTGTTGACGAGATGCGAGTGACGTCGGCGTCGGATACGGCTGTCTTGTTTCTGTACGACTTTGTGCTTCTTTCCTACCAGCTTGCCCAGGTGTAGCAGGTGGCTGTAGGTTAAGTGTTTGAGGCACTTCGTACTGGACTAGATTGGAGTCTCGGGTGGATGATGCGTCATCAGCATTCGGCAGAGGAGCCACGTCTTCCTCATCAAGATCAATCTCATTGATTGTTATTGATAGTGCTTGTCTGTTCTCGGGTCGGCTCGTATCAAGATGTGGATCGTACATGACCTTTTCGTCAACTTGTACGTCTCGGGATCTGATAACACGATCGAGTTGAGGAATCCAGACTTTGTAAACGTTGGTAGCGTCAAGTCCGACAAGCCATCCTTTTATGGCTTTCTCCTGAAGCTTAGCTGTGGCTGGACGGTCTCTTGCATGCTTGATAAGAACGTAAGCCAGAGATCCAATGATTTTGAGGTGTGAAAGGTTCGGCTTTCTTCCATGGACCATCTGGAACGGTGTTTGCCATTCTTTCCGCCGCACCGGGATGCGATTAAGAAGACGAGTGGCGTGTGAGACGATATATGGCCAGAGCTGATGAGGAAGTTTGCTCTGTATGCGAAGTTTTCGCGCTATCATCATGATCACCCCCCCAGAACGTTCAGCGAAACCGTTCTGATCTGGTGTATCCGGTGGTGATGATTGAAACGTAATGCCTCTCATTGAGATGAGATCGCGCCATTTCTGCCCCAGGCCTTTTTCGCCGTCTCAATGGATGTATCGCGTGGTAAAACCCCAGTTGTCGTTGGTCAGCACAAGAAACTCTTGTGTGACAGAGACCAGTTCGTCTTGTGTCTTGAAAGGCAAGTTGAAAGAAACGTGGTACGCAGAGTAGTCACAATAGAAGTGTACGACCCAGGTGTCCTGGTTGAAGGCTTGTTGCATGTGAATCAGATCCAGATGAACCTTCTCAAACGGAAAGTTTCCTCTCCATGTTGGAACTCTTGAGATTTGCTGGTGAGCTTGAGCGAGCTGGCATTCAGGACAGAGTTCCGAAGCACGTTCGAAATCGCGAGTGCCAAGTGCAACTCCATCGACCACATGTGGTACCTTTTCGAGAACTTCCTTCCTGATATGGCCTAGCCTCGCATGCCAAGTGTCCATCGTGGCCATAGCTAGCGGAGGCGTTCGTGACTTCTTTGCTGTTGCAAATGCTTGTGTCGCTTCGATGTCGGGCAGTGCTTCGCGAACGTAGTCCTCGAGGAGAGGTTCCACTACTCTAAAAGCACCGCGCTTGGTCGCTTTGAATGCATTAGTCCCATCAGCATACTCCATCCAACACGTTCTAGTATTGAAGAATAGGCCCTCTTTCTCCAAAGAATCCGTATTGATAATGTTCAAATGGAAACCAGGGACATATGCAACATCGTCAAGAGTAATGAGGCTTGGTCCTGAGGGAGTATCAACGTGGATTGCGACCTTTCCGATCCCTTGAATATGTGTGTCTGTATTGCCAAAGCGGATCATTTCATCGTGCAATGGCCTATAGTCGGTGAATCTAGACAGATCATTGCAGACATGCGTGTCTGCACAATTGTCAAGTCGGAAATAGCTGTCGTACTGGTCGGTTGATATCGTGCTTGATGCGAATTTCGAAGTGGCATAAGAAGCTCTTGGTGCTGCTAGAGCCGTGTCTGATGCTCCGTGGCCAGTCGTTTGTTCACTAGGTCCTTTTGCGGCATTTGTTGGCCAGAACTTGGGTAATGCAACCTTGTTCCTGTCAAAGTTCTTTTTGATCTTTTCTTGAAGACGTTTGCTTCCTTTAACCGCGGTGATGACCTTGGACTGTATCGGGACGATTGGCGTCCATGTTGCTGGTGCTTTCGCGGGGTTAAGGTAGTAACAGTCTGTATATCTGTGTGCCATGCCACAAGCGCAATCGCGAAGTTTGGATGGAGCATTTGTTAAGGTCGGAGTCGAATCGGCTCTTTTGCGTCTCTTTATCCGTGGTCGAAAGTCCTCATCGGCTGACGACGTAGAATCGACATCGACAACAGTCTTGCCTTGAAGAGTAGCATGCGCTGCTCTGGCTCTAGAGGATTTCTCATTCGGTGGAGCCATGGTCCTGTACTGTTTAATACAAAAGCCTATCGTGATTCTTTGATCCGAGAGTGTTGGGTTCAATGCAGAGAAACTTCGAAGAGTCTTGTTGATCCTGTTTCGTGCCTTTTGCACGATCGGAACAGAGGCTTCATCATCTGTATCCTCCGGGTCTGTGTCAATGGGATTGACGATTGTAACGGCACCAAGGCTAGCGTGATTGGGATTGATCTCGTTGAGGGCAGTGATGATTGCGCTCGAGATTGTCTCCATCGCCTTCGCTACATCTCTAATCAAGGTTGTGTCACTCTCGACTTGTGCTTCCCTAGACTTCATGTAATTGTAGAAGGGTGGATTGATGTCGCGGGACGACTCGACGAAAGCGTCGCAGATTTGCGACTCACTGACGTTCTCGATTTCATGCCTTGTTGCATTGTTGACAAGTGCAGGCCAACGGCTCAGCCACTTATCAATGCTGGTATTGGTAGGTCCCCTCTTGAGCTTTTCAAACTCTTCTCTGACGGTCTGTTTCTGATCTTTCGCCGTAGGTTGGATGCTTTCAGCTAATGCGATGAGCTTGCTTCGGACCGTATGTTTGCCGAGGTAGTGTTGTTTGAACTCCTGACAAACAGTAATGTCGATACGCTCAGAGACTTTGTCGTACTTCTTCTTATCACTGTCGTAGATAGCTTGAAGCGCTTGATATCTCTGGACAATGTCCTTGTTCGCAGAGTCTGGTGGCTTAGTGGCAGTGAAGACTAAGTTGTCGATGCCTTCGGGATCGCAGTAGTTCCAGACATCGTTGCGGACTGCGAGATCCTCGATAGAGTTGATCCAGTCGGTCCAGTCACCGCGAGTGTTGAGCATCGGGAGATTGTGATCTTTGATCGACATAATGAGCAATTCTTTCTTTTCTGCGTGCCAGTTTTCGTCTTTCGACTGTTAGGATCCCCTTTCGTTCTTGAACCTCCATCTTGATGATATGGTGATACTGTTGCTTTTTCTCCAACCCCGCTTTTGCGGAAACGCCGGATCATGATTGTACAACTCGATGGCGGACACCAAATTCATGGAAGAAAATACTGCCACGATGAGTCCTTGTAGCTGGTAATACTGTGTAGCACAAGGAAGTGTCTCCGGGCTCATAACTGATGCAAGATGGGGATAAAAGTGGGTACTGATGAAAGGCAGTGATGTTGTTGTTGTTGTCTGAGTCCGCGGCCGGGTGGACCGGGCTCAACTAT